TTCCTTTGCCGCTGACACTCATCATCCCGCTCGGCCCCTGAGCTCCCCAGGCTGGCCCTGAGGTGCTCTATAGACCTGCTGCCCGGCGAGGAGCAGCATTTCTCTACAGATCTGTATCCATGCAACTGTGTAGGAATGAGATAACACATCTAACCCGGTACTCTGTGTCCTTGTGCCTTGGATCCAGGACTCCAACCTTAACCTCTCACTTCTGACTGGAAGAGGGACCCCTGGAGATGCTGAATTCAAGCACCCTATGATGGGTTTGAGGATTTCCATAAGACTTCATGCGAAAAACAACACGCATTTCAATGTAAACTGTTCAGATGTTTGCATTGGGTAGCCGCTGGCTTCTCTCAGGGATGGCAGTCTTGACCTCCACTTCTGATAGAAAAGACAAATAACAAAACAAAATGAAAACTACAAAGTAATAAATCTTCAACCACCTAAGACTGATAAGTCTATGTGAACCCTATCGCAAACAATGACAATGAAAGTCTTTAGCCAGAAAACCAAAAATAAAGTTTAGCTTTAATTTTTAACTCCACAGCTTTGTGTAATATTCCACAATGTTTCCTTTAAAATGATAATATCCCGCATCATTACAGATTCAAACCCAAAATGAGGAGGTTTATAAAAAGAATAACAATTTAAATATAATTGTTCCCTATTTAAAAGAGATTCAAGAAAATCATCTTTAAATAAACATTTGACTATTTAACTGTACATTTCCCTAATCCTTGTTTTGTTCGGAATAAAGCATACACTTGATAAAAAAAAAAAAAAACACACATACAATCATCTGATCATCTTGATTACGAAGGGTTTTTGACATCTTGTTCTACATTATGCCAGAGGCCGTGCCTCAGCAGCCTCACCCGGGGCTGAACTTGCTTTCTCATCATCCTGCTTTAATCTTTTTATCTGCCTGTATTCCTCACTTGCTCAGATACTCCACTTTTTACACTGTGAACTTCCTGGGGACAATGACCCCATCTTTCCCTCTTTGAATCACCCAGCAAAGGAAGTACACTTTGTAGGTGTGTAATAAGCAGGTGTGTAATAAGCTACACATGAATGACTTTAAAACTTGGTTTCATATCTAATTTTTAAAGTCAGGAATTATAGTTATCATGTATTCTTGATTTTCAGGGATAGCATTTATTCTAATATTTCTTTTTAAAATTCCATTCTACATAACATCATATCCAACCCAAACTGACTATGTTTGAGAAAATTGTGAACTTTTCTTTAATTGGTCTCTCATAACCCATAGTTTTCAGGTTTTTGGTTGATGTTGCTAGCCTTTTGTTTGATTTGATCTAGTTTTTTTTTAAAATGAGCTGCCAAGTTTCATTAGAGCTTGATCTACATCCCACTAAGCTTTGCACCAGGGCGTACAGTCACAGACTGGATGTGGAATGGTAACCTTGCAGATAGTCATCAGAGGTTACCAGTTAATGGAAGGTTTGTGTCATCAGGGAAAGAAAAAGAAATGAATTAAATTGAATCTGAAAATGAGGGGTTAGTTGCCTGAATAAGAAAAATAACACATGTACTTGTCACTTTCTGTTTTTCATTCTAAGTTCTCAAAAATAAGAGGGCTTAATGTTTAAGTTGGAAAACTAACGTGTTTTTACACATAGCTTATCATATTGAACATGTATTTGTTAACAAACGTCATTAGTATAATGTTCCAGATGAAATTATTTCCTAAAATAATAGTTAAATCAGCCTATAGTACTAATCCATTCATTTCCTGGGTGATTTGAATGATGACAGAAGTCCTGCTAATAACTGCATTTCCCTTCAGCTTGAGAATACGGAATCAGGGCCCATGTTGTGACGTATGTCCTGGCTGCTCCACTTCTGACCCAGCTCCCTGCTAATAGCCTGGGAAAAGCAGCAGAAGATGGCTCAGATGCTTGGGCCCCTGCTACCCACATGGAAGACTTCGAAGAAGCTCCTTGTTCCTGGCTTAGGCCTGGCCCAACCTGGCCCATGTAGCCATCTGTATATTAAACCAGCGAATAGATCTGTCTCTCTGTCTCTCCTTCTCTCTATGTGCAACTCTGACTTTCAAATAAATAAACCTTTAAAACAAACAATAGAGAACCTAATGGATAGAACTACTCTATAGTTTGTGCAAATAAAATAAAACGAAGTGTTCCAACACATATTTCACATATGCAGATATGTAGTATAGGACAAACCTGGAATTCAGGTCCAAAGAAATGTGGTTATGCATAGAAAATATTATTTATACAACCCCCTCTACTAAATATTATTTATGCACTAGAGTGATATTTTGAGTACAATAACTTGTACATTGTGGTACTGCTTAAAATAACAGAATGAATCAGTAAATGATAACCTGGGCATCAGAGCTTGTATTGTCCTCAAATAACAAGAAATTCAGATCACACCTTTCTCATTCTTTCACCTTCTGTTAAACCACATTAATATATTTCAACTCTGAACATTGATGGCTTATAATTGATAATTGATATATTCGGAAGTCTCTAAATAGTCTGTTGGCACTTCAATACATTAAAAACGTTAGTTGTCACTCAATTTTAAAGCTAATAAACTGCCAAATAATAGATATTTCTGGTGACTCAACTGTAAATATAACTCATTTTCATATAACTGTAAAAATAACTCTTCCTTATCATCTAGGGAAAATGAGATACCCTGGGCACAGGAGAAAGGTACCAATAGATCCTTGTAAATTCTGTTCTCCAAATCTTTGAGTCTTACTCCAGTTGGTACATTTCTGATACTCTGCTTTGAGCCTAGTAGACGCAGTAAGTTTCTAGTTAGGAATTACAAATAAATAAATCATTTATTTGTTATTTAAACATAATGTGCTGTGGTTTAGAACTAAATAACACTACTATATTAAACAACTAATATATTAAAAAAAGAAACAAAAGGTCACTTACCTCCATTGCTGCTACTAAAGAGTCATTAATATTGAAAGGTTCAATATAAAAAAAGAAGTGTCTTCAGAACTGAGATCTGGACTGTGTAGACAAATTAGATGTATGAAGTTAAAATACCAAGAGAGGAAAAAATAAACAAAGCAGGACTCTACAGACTCACTGGAAGAATGGGCATAACAATGTGAAGAAATTGAAGATCAGAAACTTACAATTATGTGATTTAAATAAAATTAAACTACAATTGTACTTGTAGCCTCATAGCCTTCCACTCCAGGCCTCAGTCTTGACCAGTCCATTTGTTTTGTCAATTGAGTGAGTGCAGAAACTGTTTTCTTATCTTTCATGTGTAGTCTCCATCAAATGTAATAGTATTGATCACTCAGGACACTTAGAAGAAGAGATTTACATTGATTCTTGATTTAATGGACTCTCAACCCGTCTGAATGGTAGTAAATGTCATCATGAAGCTATCAAATCATGTCAGTCCTGGGTGATGTTTCAATACACGACACAGCCTGTGGGTTTTGAGTACATTATTTCCAAAAGTTGATTGTTTGGAGTTGATTCAATTGCATGGGAACTAAAATTAAAGAATGTGTAGTCCACTGTGTGCACTCTGACAGTTAGGTTCCGACAAACATGTCTTTCATTCTGAATGTAGCCGATTGCATGAATTTTGCTCATCTTTTTTTATTCCTCTCTGAAAGCAGGTTTTCACCTCTCATAGTAGAAAAGGAAAATAAGGTACTAGAGAGAAAAAGAATACATTCATGTCTGATACTTTATGGAATCAGAATTCTTAATAAATATTATGAAGAAGAGGTTGGGTAGTTTAGCTTTCATACAAGAAACCGTTTTAAAATTCTAATTAGAGGAAAAAGAATATGGTTTTTAAAATCATACCCAGCAATCATTTCAGTTTAAAATTTCCCTTCTGTTAAACTTTTTAAAAATAAAAAACCATATGCAGTGTGCTAATGCTGACTCTTTTTTATCTACTAGGTTTCAAACAACTGATGATTAAAAGAATGAAATCTCATCATAAGAGAGAAATTTAATGAGTTCTCATGAACAATTAAAAAGATTATTTGCATATTTTAGCCTATTGGAGGAAAACATACCAGGCAGTAAAGATTCAGCAATAATCACATGCTGAGAAGGAGTGGAAAGGGAAACATTAAATGCTTCTCTTGCTCCTCCTGAAACCACGGATGGCATTTCAGGAAGCTTATTAGCATGCACATTGGAGTGACCTGGTTTACCAGTACTCTGCACTGAGGCAGGTGTTTATTACAGGTGCTCCATCTTCGGTATTTTTTCCCTCTAAGAAGAATTAGGAATACAGAGAAGATGCATGCCTGTTTATGTTCACAGTAGTATATAGTATGGGAAGAGAGAAGTTAAACCCAAAGCAAAGGTTGAGAAGCATGTGATAAACTCTCTTTGGAGATTCTCTTCTATGACATTTACTCTTTGCCATCCAGTCTTTGATACACTGGAATCATCAAACACATTTTCCCCTGAGGTCGCAAGGAGCTGCAAATAATGTGGACTTTAGATTCAGAAATTATCAGCCATTCACTACTAATTGCCTTCAAGCAAGCAGGTTTTTCTCCATGTATCTGTCGATTATCCATGTGTAGAAGTTGTAATAACATCCACTTTTAAGATTATTGTAATGGTCAGGGAAAATGTACTTTTTCAGCACAGCTTCCAACATAAAGCGAAGGCACTCATTGTTTGACAGCTAGGAATGTGAAACAATTAAACAATAGCAAACACCTACAAACAGTCAAACAGCATACCAGTAATGGGGAGAGCACTCAAGGTAGTATCTAACGATGGGAAACAATATTGTCAGTGGAGCCATGGTTAAGGTGTAAGAATAGTGATGTTTCCTGTGATGGTGTCCCTTCTCTCTGTATGGTAAATTCACCCTGACACTGGAATGTGCTTCTTTCAACACGGAGCAAAAAGACTGAAAACACCAGTACACTACCTGTAATGTTTGCCTTGCTGCTCACATCTTACGCCTTCTGCTCATTTTTATTTTAGCCACAGGTCTGGAGGGTCAAGCTGACATTGTTCCACCCAAATAGCATTTTTTTGAGTCTGAGTCTTCTCCAGAGGCATCACAGCTCTCTCGGACTATACAATCACATTTTGGCTAAGATCAAGTGAAGTGTGGAGAGGAGCTGGAAGGTGAGTTTAATGACTGAGTCAATGACTCAACTTTCAACTGATGAGAATAGTAGGTAGTGGATGACTTCCATAGCTTCCGGTCTTCTAGATGGAAGATTTTAGAAGGCATTCTTCTTGCTTCTCAGAGGTTCCGTCTGAATTGAGCCAAATTACCTGTGGCAGGGAGCTAGACAGTGCATGGCTTTGGAGTCTTCCTGTCTCCCTGTCCCACCGTATTTGAAGCTGCCTGTTTCATGTTCTATTTTCATGGGTGCCCCATGTAAGACACCTTTTAAAAACAGAACAGATATTGATTATAATGTAGCTTTAGATGAATCAAAATGTACAAACCTCATAACTTTGGTATATTGTAATTTGAATAAAATAATGTATATCACTCTCATATATATGAAAAATAGATATGTGGTAGAAAGGATGACAGCTTGTTAGGAGGAAAACATTTTGTAACTAATAGCACGTAACTCAATTATATAGTACCTCACAACACTCATCTGCTTCTGTAGATAGGGGTAATGAATCTTAAAAGATGTGAGAGACTAAAGGGCAAAATAGAATCTTGGCTGAAGTTTTTTTTTTTTCTTCTTGTTTTACAATTTTTTTCACGTCATGCACTCAAGGACAGATTTTATAAGATGGCAAAATGTAAATTGGTAGCCTCTATACCATTAATACAGGATTTTTAACTTTTCATTATGGAAAACCTCTTAAGAAATAAAGAATATGTAAAAAATAACGTAATAAAGTCTCTTTTCATTGCCACTCAATCACCAATATTTGTCATTTATATTTTATCTATCATGTCACCTATTTTCTGGATTTTAAAAATTAATTAAAATTAATTAATTTTTTTACTTAAAAGGCAATGATGAACAGAGACACAGAGAAATTTTCCATCCACTGGTTCACTCCCTGAACGCCTACAATAACTGGCATTTCAATGCTGATTAAAAAATTAAATCACACTGAAGGATAAAGCCTGGAACTCTTATCTGGGTGTCCCACATGTTGGCAGGAACCTAAGTACTTGGGCCACCGTCTGTTATCTTCCAGATGTCTTATCAGGAGACTCAATAGGAAGGATATGGAATGTGGGTGTCCCAAGCAATGGCTTAATCTGCTGCACCACAATCACTACGCCTTTTGTTCTGAAATATTTTAAAGCAGGTTTGAGATATGGTTTCAGATTCCAAGATGGTAGAATAAGGAGGGAGCTTATTGTCCTACTCCAGGGGAAGATAGTTTAGAATACGTGGAGAGAGGCCGGCGCCGTGGCTCACTAGGCTAATCCTCCGCCTTGCGGCGCCGGCACACCGGGTTCTAGTCCAGGTCGGGGCACCGGATTCTGTCCTGGTTGCCCCTCTTCCAGGCCAGCTCTCTGCTGTGGCCAGGGAGTGCAGTGGAGGATGGCCCAAGTGCTTGGGCCCTGCACCCGCACGGGAGACCACGAGAAGCACCTGGCTCCTGCCATCGGATCAGCGCGGTGCGCCAGCCGCAGCGCGCCGGCCGCGGCGGCCACTGGAGGGTGAACCAACGGCAAAAAGAAGACCTTTCTCTCTGTCTCTCTCTCTCACTGTCCACTCTGCCTGTTAAAAAAAAAAAAAATACGTGGAGAGAGTACAATCTCATGGAAGGTTAGGTAGAAAACTGCAGTGAAGACACCACGGAAATGAGAGGAATGCTGTGGGTCCGTGTGGAGGGGTGGATGTGCAGCATGAGCACAGACACAACACAGGACCCCAGCCGATGAGAGCGTCAGCACCAGCTTTGGAGAGTCAGGTGAGACCAGACATCAGAGTCCAAGATACTGACCAGAAAGCTGGAAGGAGAGCCTGGCATGAAGCTGACCTGGAGCCCCAGTATACCTGCCCAGGTGGAGGGAAAAAAGGGGGCGTGTTTCTCTCTCTCTAACTCCCCAACAACGATGCTGTGCAACTGGTTGAGGATGGGTACCATTTTGGACAAATGTAACTGCTGCCTCTCCTTGTGTCCACATGCCCAGAAAGCAGCTGAGAGGAGACACCTGAGTCCACCTGGAAGGAATGACAAAGGTGGGGCAACACAGAGGACTGTGAGGGGCCTCCAGTCTCCCACCATGTAACAGACTCTGGGGCTTAGGCTGTGTGGGCAGAGTACCCATAGGTGGCTGGTTCTGGAAGCATCTCCATGTTTCTGTGTACAAGATGGTCTGGCAGAAGATTTTGTGTACATATGTGTGGGGAGCAACCAAGACTAGACTAAATTACTGGAACTGCTAGGACTAATTCTGTGCATCTGATCTCCCACAATATGGCGCTGAGAGAGAGCAAACAACTTCCACACAGCTGCCTCACCAATTCAACTAACAAGCTGCAGGAGCTGATCCTGCTCCTGATTGGAGGAGAGCAGCGTGCTCAGTGTGTGGGCAGCAGAGCATGGATTGGTGGAAGAGGACTATAAAGGAGGAGAGAGACAACATGCACCAGGAACACCTGAGGAACATCTGAGCAACCCCTGAGAGAGCTGGCCGACGGTGTGTCGCTCCTCCGTGGAAGCGGGGAAAGCGGCGGGGGTGCCGCTCTTCCGTGGAGGCGGGGGGTGGGCGGCGGTAGCAAACCCGGGATGGTGTCGTTCCTCCGCGAGAGGGGGAGCAACACATATGCAGCAATTGGCTGACACAGGACACCATTCTTCCTGACAGTACTGATGGCAGTGTTAGGGAGAGTGCAACATTCGGCCAGTGGCTCTTGTGTATATGTGTGATCCAGAGATTCTAGCAGAAGGAACAATCCACAGTCCCAATTGACACTGAGCCTGCCCGGGAGGTGGCTGGGCAACCATGTAGGAAGGTGAAGTAACCAAAGCCTCCTGGGACCAAAGCACCTATGCAGAGCTGTCTCGGGGAACATGTGCCTCTCTGTTGCCTGGACAGGCTGGCAGGGCAGACAGAAACTGCTGCACCCAGCAATTGCAGGAGCCTTGTGTACTTACACCATGGGAACCTGGTGGTTACATGGTAAGGTGCAGGGTGTAGCTGGGTTTCTTGTCCATTGTGGGTGCTATTCCAAATACTCAGAGCTTGTTGCCTACAGTAGGTCATTGCAGTGGGAATTGTGCTCACAGTGAGGAACACACAGATCATCTGTTTGGTTCATATGGTGTCTCTGAACACTCTAGGGGCTAAAACCCAGACATTGAGATCTAGTGTGCCCAACTTGGCTATTACCCTGGATACTTACCCCACCCTGGAGCACCGGCCAGAGCTCCCTGGCCACACCTACCACACATCTATTGGTATTCACTGAAATTGCAGACATTCCACTCAGTCACCGAGGCATATAGATCAAAATTAAAAGTCTTCAGAGGAAAAAAAAAAAACAACAAAAAAACCCAACTCTAAATATACCTAAAAATAAGCACATAAATTCAAGAAACAAGAATAAGGAAGACACCATGACCCTCACCTCCTCCAAAGGAACATGTCAATTTTAGAATGTGAAATGAAGAGAGTGAGAAAATGCTGGAAATGGAATTCAAAAAAATTACTCAAAAGCAATCAGAAGCAAATCCATGAGCTAAAGAAAACCATTCATGACATGAATAAAAATTCTTCCCATGAAACTGAGATTTTAAAGAAAAATCAAAATGAAATATTAAAAATGAATAATTCAATAGATCAAATAAAAATGTGATGGAAAGCCTTAACAGGAGATTTGGTAAGGAAGAAGAAAGAATATCCAAATTAGAAGACAAATCATTGGAAATTTACAGTCAGACAAAAAAAAAAAAAAAAAAAACAAGAAAATAGAAAAACTTGGGATCAGTATTGGAGATTTATGGGAGACTATCAGGTTACCCAATATATGAATCTTAGGAGTTCCTGAAGGTGAAGAAAGAGATAATAGACTAGCAGGCCTATTTACTAAATTAATTATAGAAATCTTCAACAATTTGGAAAGGAAGCACAGTAGAGGAAGCACACAGAACTCTTAACAGTTATGGGCAGAAAAGATCTTCACCATGACACACTGTATTCAAATTTTCCACAGTAAAACAATAAAAATATTCTAAAATTTACATGAGAAAAATTCCAGATTACTTTCAGAGGATCTCCAATTAAACTCAGAGCTGAATTCTCATCAGAAACCCTACATGCTAGGAGGAATGGTGAGATATAGTCCAAGATAAAAAAGGAAAATATATGTCAACCCAGAATACAGTATCCTGCAAAGCTCTCAATTATGAATGAAGATAAAATAAAGACCTTCCATAACAAATAGAAATTGAAGGAATTTGTCACCATTCATTCAGCCTTACAAAAGATGCTTGAGGATGAGTTACTCACAGAAACACAGAAAGATAACCATCGTTATGAAAGAATGTGTAGGCAGAAAATCCCTCAGTTATAGTACAGAAGAAATCCAAACTAAACAACAGGAATATTTAATGGAAAAATGGCAAGGCCAAATTGTTACTTACCAGTATAGTCACCTTGAATATAAATGGCCTCAACTCTCCAGTTAAAAGATACAGACTGGATGAATGGATTAAAAAACAGGACCCACCTATTTGCTACGTAGAAGAAACACATATTAACAAAAATACATGCAGACTGAAAGTGAAAGGATAGAAAAAGATATTCCATGCTAATGGAAAGCAAAAAAGGGCAATGTTGTCAACCTAATATTAGACAAAATAGACTATAACATAAAAATTGTTAGAAGAATAAGGGTACTAAGCAATGATCAAGTGATCATTTCAAAAGGAAGATGTGACTATAATAAACCTATATGCATCCAATTACAGGACAACTGCCTATTTAAAAGAAATGCTAGCCAACGCCACGGCTCAACAGGCTAATCCTCCGCCTAGCAGCACTAGCACACCGGGTTCTAGTCCCTGTCGGGGCACCGGCTTCTGTCCTGGTTGCCCCTCTTCCAGGCCAGCTCTCTGCTGTGGCCAGGGAGTGCAGTGGAGGATGGCCCAAGTGCTTGGGCCCTGCACCCCATGGGAGACCAGGAAAAGCACCTGGCTCCTGCCTTTGGATCAGTGCAGTGTGCTGGCCGCAGTGCGCCAGCCACGGCAGCCAACAGAAAAGGAAGACCTTTCTCTCTGTCTCTCTCTCACTGTCCACTCTGCCTGTCAATAATAAAAAAAAGAAATGCTAGTGAATCTAAAGGGAGACATGGACTCCAATACAATAGTAACACGGGACTTCAACACCCCACTTTCGTCAATGAACCGATTAACTAGGCAGAAAATCAACAAGGAAACAACAGAGCTAATTGACACTATAGACCAAAAGAACCTATCTGATATCTACAGATCTTTTTACCCCACAGTTGCAGAATACAAATTCTTCTCATCAATGCTTGGAACTCTCTTAGGGTAGAACATATGCTAGGCCATAAAGCAAGTCTCAGCAAATTAAAATAAAATAAAAATTGAATCTTTTTTTATACTATTTGCTGAACACTTTACTTAATGTAGGGTTAATCTTGTGTATATAAAGTAAACTGAAAATGAATCTTAGTCAAAATAAGAATGGGAATAGGATAAAGAGGAGGAAAAAGGGTGTGAGTGTGGGTGGAAGGGAGAGTAGGGTAGAAAGAATCACTATGTTCCTAAGCATGTATATATGAAATGCGTGAAGTTTGTCTGTGTTAAACAAAAGGTTTCTAGGTAAGTGAACAAAAAATAATTAAAAGATATGATTTACCCATAAATAATTCAGTATTCCAAATAAGGATGTCATTTTACATAACCATATAGTATTATTGTACCTTAAAATTATCAATAATATTTTAGTATCATGTATGTATTCATGTTGCATTTAAAATAGCTTTTTAGTGTATTTGAATCAAGATCTTTTAAATCTCCTAGGATTTATTTGATCTCCCACTTAAAAAAGTTTATTATGATTTAATTAATATATGCAGGCTGGCACTGAAGCAGATAAAGCTGCTGCCTGCAGTGACTCCAGCGTTGCATATGAGTGCCAGTTTGAGTCCCTGCTGCTTAATTTCTGATCCAGCTTCCTGCTAATAGATTGAGAAAAGCAGCGGAAAAATGGCCTATGTCCTTGGGCCCCTGCCACCCACATGGGAGACCCAGAAGAAGCTCCTGGCTCCTGCCCAGCCCTGGCTCTTTTGGCCGTTTAGGAAGTGAATCAGCAGATGGAGATCACTTTCTATGTGCCTCCCTTTTTTCTCTGTAACGCTGACATTTAAATAAATAAATAAATAAATCTTTTAAAATATTAAATTAAGATACAATAAACAGATTTTAAAAGAAAAATTCCATGAATTTCTGTACATGTGTACATCAGTATAACCACCTTCCCATTTTTATGCAGAATACTTTCAATAGCCTAGAATGTTCCTCTTGTTCCTTTGCAGGTCACTGTGCCCTACCGCCACAGCTGAAGCCACCATTTATAAAAATCGTGAGCATTCAAAACTTAGTTTGTTCCAGAACAACATATAAAGGTAAGCACAGATGTGTGCTTTTTGTAACTGGATTCTTTTCATTTCCATGTAGTGTTGTTTGTTTTTCCATGTTTTTGCTCCTATTCATATTACTATTGGAGAACAACATGCTATTAACGAATATGCCACTATTGCTTTTAATCTATTCACTGGCTGATGAGGGGTTTCTACTTTCTCACTGTGAAAAATAAGATTACATTGAGCATTCTCTATGTAACCTTCTTGTAGTATTTTAAAATGTTTTCCTGGCCATATTTTTTAAATTTCTTGTGGGTGACATAGAAGAAAAACTTCTGGGTAATGAATTAAATGTATATTTTAACTTTATATTAAAATCATGAACGTGTTCTCTGAGGTGGATGTACTCTAAAGATTTCTTGTAGCTATATAACCTCAATAAATTTATGTTTCTGTCATTCTAATGCCAGCCCAGTGTTATTATATTCTGCTTTAAATTGTTAATTTCTCTTTTACTGAGAGATTTCTTTGAAAGGTGAAGTGACAGTGAGAGGGGAAAAGCAGAGAGAGATGATGATGATGATAGAAACAGAGGGAGAGAGAGAGAAAGAGAGAGAGACTGAGAGAGACAGAGAGAGAGAATCTTCCAATGCATCGGTTTACTCCCTTAAATCTGCAACAGCCCAGACTGGACCAGGTAAAAGCCAGAAGCCAGGAACTCCATTTGGTTCTCCACATGTGTGTGGCAGGGGCCCAAGTGTTTGGCCATCTTCCACTACCTTCTAAGGATCACTAGGAGGGACCTGAATAAGAAGTAGAGCAATTGGGTCTTGAACCAGCACTCTGATATGGGATGCTGGCATCACAAGTGGAAGGTTAACCCGCTGTGCCATGATGCTATTTTCATGATATTAATGTTGAGCATCTTTTCAAATGCTTATTTATCATCCTGGTTGCATTTTCATTTTTTTGTTTTTAAAGATTTATTTATTTATTTGAAAGGCAGAGTTATAGAGAGGCAAAGAGAAAGAGATCTTTCATCCACTGGTTCCCTCCCCAAATGGTTGCAATGGCCAGCACTCAGCTGATCTGAAGCCAGGAGCCAGGAGCATCTTCTGGCTATCCCATGTGGGTGCAGGGGGCCAAGCACTTAGACCATCTTCTACTGTTTTCCAGGCCATAGCAGAGAGCTGGATCAGAAGTGGAGCAGCCAGGACTCCACCCAGCACCCTTATAGGATGCCAGGACTGCAGGCAGTGGCTTTACCTGCTATGTCACAGCGCCAACCCTTCTGGTTGTATTTTCTAAATTATCTCCTGTATTCTAATACTTTTCTTCATTTTAATTATATTTTTATTATTAATGTGCTGTAGAAGTTGTTCAGATATACTTTATGCGGTCCACTGTGAAATACCTGTATTGCAAAAATTGTTACCTAGTATGTGGTGCACTTATTCATTTTTTAAAAAAAATTATATAGGGCAAGCAAATTTCATGTATTTCATATATACAGATTCGTGAGCATAGTGATATTTCCCACCCTACTCTCCCTCCCACCCAACCTCCTACGCTCTCTGCTTCTTCCTTTGTTATCTTTCTTTTAATTTTTGCAATGACATAATTTCAGCTTATTTTATAACCATAAGATTAAGTCTCCACTAAGTAAAGGATTCACTTTCTTAGTGTTTGGGGGGAAGATTAAATTATCAAACTGTGATTCGTTCTAATTTATCATTTTCTTAAAATTATAGTGTTTACTTTGTTTCTAAAAGGTATCACTTACACCCACTCACAAAACTATTCTCATATATTTTCTTATAGAAGTTGTATTCTTTTGGCCTCTATATTTAGATCTGTGACATATCTCAAATTAGATTTTTCTATATGGTACAAGATGGAAATCAAAATAATTATTTTCTTTTTCAAATAGATATCGAGTTTCTCCAGAACCATTGGTTGAGGAGACTATTCTTTGTCCTCCTGAATTAAATTTATGTCAATGTGAAAATCAATTAATTGTATATATGTGGGTCATCTTCTGAACTCTCGGCTCTGTTGCACTGATATGTTTGTTTTCATGTACATTCATGTTTAAATTCTCTTAACTACTGCTATTTTATATTAATTTTTGATGTCCTGATTTATTACTCATTTTAATTACTCATTTTTTTCTTCCGTGTCGTAGTGTTTTTAGTTGTTGAAGTATCTATTTATTGTTTTGGTTATTTTTGTTGTTTGGCTATTTTCATGTATGTATTATTAATGGAATTAGCTTATTAATTTCTTTTTTAAAATATTTATTTATTTATTTAAAAGTCAGAGTTACACAGAGAGAGTGGGGGTAGAAAGAGAGAGAGAGAGAGAGAGGTCTTCCACTGATGGTTCACTCCTCAATTGGCCACAACAGTTGGAGCTGTGCCGATCCAAAGCCAGGAGCCAGGAGCTTCTTCTAGGTCTTCCACATGGGTGCAGGGGCCCAAGGACTCAGGCCATCTTCCACTGCTATCCCAGGCCATAGCAGAAAGCTGGATTGGCAGAGGAGCAGCCGGGACTAGAACCGGCACCCATTTGGGATGCCAGCGCTTCAGGCCAGGGCGTTAACCTGCTGTGCCACAGTGCTGGCCCCTAGAATAACTTTCATTTTGGCTTGGCATTGAGAAGAGTGATCCTACATGGAGGAAGATTAACCTACTGTGCCACAGTGCCAGCTCCCGTATTTTCTTTTATAATCAATTGAATACACAATATTATTATTTCATTGAAACTGGAAAAGTCTATCAAGAACTAAAAAGAAGAGAATTTTCCCAACAATGTCAGACTCGCATATGTTGACAAAATACTGAAAGCATATATCATGCATGATTTCAGCTGTCAATATTTCAACAGTTTTTTCAATGACAGAAATAAAGAATCTTATTTGAAATTTTGAACAGCTATCAGAGGAAGTTTCTCATTAATTGTCAAATCAAATAAATATTAGGAAATATAAAATTGGTCCTGTAAAGAATATCTAATTTCTCCTTGGAAGCTGTTGGTTGATGTTGATATGAATCGCTTTGAGCTTGTCATAAATCCCAACTCTCAAGACGTTAAGTCAGAGAAAAGCAAATCCCTGTCATCACCTAGGTCAAGCTATTTCTCTCAGAAAGCACATCTCCAGATAAATCTTGCTGGTGTTGAGTTTTGTCTTGATTATCATACAAGTCAAGTCACAATGTGTCCTCTATGACCAATGATCTAGGAAAAAGAATGTGTGATGTTCACTATTAATTTTCCTGTCATTTGCAAAAATGACATTGATGAAGTATTAAGGAACCAGACTCCAGGAAAGACAAAATTTCACATATCTTCAAATGCTCTGCATTGTATTTGTTCTTTGATGATATTATCTTAAACAATTTCCAACTTACAGCTACTCACAAGGGAGAAGTTTCAAGTTTTACTCCATTAAATTTTGAGTGGCATGCACAGTACCTGCTGCCCACGTGACATGGAAAGATATTTAAGCAATTGATTTCTAAAATGAGAAAAAAAAATAACCATTTTAATCCAGTATTGGAGAAAGTAACATAAGACAGGAAATTTGTGCAATGTGTTTTTATATTTGATAGGTAGAGTGACACAGAGAAAGACAGAGACAGCGGGTAGAACTTCAATTTGCTGGTTCACTTTCCAAATGACCACAATGGCCAAATCTGGACTAGACCGAAGCCATGAGCCAGAAAGTCCATACAGGTCTCCCATATGAGTGGCAGGTACCCAAGCACTTGGACCGTCTTCTGCTGCCTTCCCAGGTGAATTAGCTGGGAGGCAGATCAGAGGTGGAACAGTCAGAACTTGATCTATGATATAGGATGTCAGCATTGCAGGCAGCGGTTTAACCTGTAGCAGCACAACCCCAGCCTAGTGATAGTTTTACAGAAAATGTTAAAATTAGCATAGTCAATAATGCTAAAACAAACAGATAGTAAATTATTTTCTGTTTATCTCAGGAGAAACACCTTTTGAATGCTTTTTACATGAACTAAACAGAAGACGCATGTTGAAAGGCAAATGATTAATAGCTGGTCTGATACACAAGATGCAAACAGGGCTGGCCTTAATACTTCTCATATTTGAGATATGAGGCTGATCTAAGCTATGAAGTCTAACAATACAGTGAACATTCATCTACACACTGCCCAGTGTAACAAGTAGAACATTCACAGTAATTGATTTTCCTGTGAGCCCTGTGTGATGTGATTCCTTACATCTCCTCCTGAATTGCAGAATCATATTTCCCTTGCTATAGATTCCTAAAAATGTACTAATCAACCTTAAGTGTTTCTTAATTTAAAATTCAGGACAATGAAAAAAATCTTTAGTGAGATTTGCTTCTGCACGTGTAGCCTTATTGGATTTGATATTACTGCTTCATAATATTCCAGCACTTGAGCATATGACTATTTATCTTTCCTTCTTCCACAGCCATTTTGATTCCTGTCTTCTTACTACTATGAAAGATGACATACATACTATATTTCTTCTGCAGAACATATACAAGAATTACATTTAGAAGTAAATTTTGGTCATTTTAAACACTACCTTAACATACCAAATAGTTTCTGAAATGGTTGTTCTAGTTTACATTCACATCAGAGGTGTACAATGACTTAAGTCTTTCCATGCTTTTAATGGTTAAATTTTTGTGTGTTTATCTTATATATTTGAGAAAGAGAAAGAGATAGAGATCTTCCATCTCCATGTTCACTCTCCAAATGCCTGCAACAGCCAGATTTGACCAGGTCTAAGCAAGAAGCCAGGAACTCCATCCTGGTTTCCCGCATGGATGGCAGGGGCCCAAGTACTTGGGCCATCTTACACTGCCTTCCTGGGCATATTATCAGGAAATTGGGCTGGAAACAGAGCAGCTGAGACTGAAACCAGCAGCAAAAGGTGACTGAATTACCCAGGCCACTGCCATCTATGGGGGACACTAGGATGTAGTTCTGGGCTTCTGGCTTGGGCCTGGCCTCCTCCTGGCTGTTGCAGGCTTTGTGAAGTAAATCAGAGGATGGAGTATCTCTTTCTATCTTTCTGTCCATCTCTCTCTCTCTCTCTCCTTTCCCTCTTTCTCTCTCTGATTCTCAACCGGGACTAGAACCTGGCGCCCATATGGGATGCCAGTGCCGCAGGCCGAGGATTAACCAAGTGAGCCACGGCACCGGCCCTGTGATATACATATATCATTACATTTAGAAGTAAATTTTGTATATGTATATATGTAAATGTTTTTATATATGCAAATTGAATTTTGTTTGGCCACAAAAAAGATGAAATCCTGTTATTTGTAGCAAAGTAGTTGTTACTAGAGATCATTATGTTAAGTAAAGTAAGCCAGATACAGAAAGCAAAATACCATATATTCTCCTTCATTTGTGGAAGTTAATCTGAAGTTGGAATAGTGATTACAATACGTTGAAAAGAGTAAGAGGAAGAGCGAGAGAGACTGAATAATACCTACCAAGAAAGTTAGATAGAAAATAAGGAAATGGAAATGCTAACTTTGCGAATTACCTGAATTGATCAGTTAATGTTATATAAGTGTGTTGAAATACTGCACTGCACACCCATAAAAATTCACAAGTACTACATATTAATAAAAACACCACACAGGCCGGCGCCGTGGCTCACTAGGCTAATCCTCTGCCTTGCGGTGCCGGCACACCAGGTTCTAGTTCCGGTCGGGGTGCCGGATTCTGTCCCGGTTGCCCCTCTTTCCAGGCCAGCTCTCTGCTGTGGCCCAGGAGTGCAGTGGAGGATGGCCCAAGTGCTTGGGCCCTGCACCCCATGGGAGACCAGGAGAAGTACCTGGCTCCTGCCATCGGATCAGCGCAGTGCGCCAGCCACAGCACGCCGGCCACGGCGGCCATTGGAGGGTGAACCAACGGCAAAGGAAGACCTATCTCTCTGTCTCTCTCTCTCACTGTCCACTCTGCCTGTCAAAAAATAAAAAAATAAAAAATAAATAAAAACACCACACAGAGGCATTTAGACTTCTTAGAAATTTTGTAAAGAAGTTTCAGTTCCACAAGCACTTTACGAACATTTAAATTTTTTAAAAAGATTTATTTTATTTATTTGAAAGAGTTACAGAGAGAGGTAGAGAGAGAGAGAGAAAGAGAGGTCTTCCATCTGCTTGTTCACTCCCCAGATGGCCACAATGGCTAGAGCTGTGCCGATCAGAAGCCAGGAGCCAGGAGCTTCCTCTGAGTCCCCCATGTGGGTGTAGGAGCCCTGGGATTTAGGCCATCTTCTACTGCTTTCCCAGGCCATATCAGAGAGCTGGATCAGAAGAGGAGCAGCTGGGACTTGAACCGGCACCCATATGGGATACTGGCACTTCAGACCAGGGCTTTAACCTGCTGCACCATAGCACCAACCCCGGACATTTCAATTTTTACCAATATGTGGATGCTATTGCCAAGGCAAAAACTCACCAGACAAGTGAAGTAGTAAAGGAGACTTTGCTCAACGCTGTTCTAACAGGCAAGAGAGACCAAAATTTACTCTGAGAGTGTTTGAGTTGAATTGGAGGATCATAAGCCATCTGTTAATTTGCCGAGCCCAAAGGAAAAATGAACTTTCTTTTTTCAGGACAGGACAAAGTGCCCTGCAAAGGGAAGCTAGGTTCCTAAGCTCCCATAGAAACTGGGGAGGGGCACTATCTTCACTGGT